GCTGGGGATCTTCAGGAATTGCATGATAGGATTGCCTGATTATATGATGCCTGATAGCCTAAGGTCTCCCTTATATGAAATTGACATCATTACTGTAGTTGCTTAGTGTATGCATCACGACTGTACATAATTAAGATCTTATAGCCTGAGAATGTTTGGTTTGGCTTTATTTCTTGTTCCTTGTCTGGTTGTGGGCTTAGAGTAGGACCGAGTATTCGAAAGTCTATAGGGTCCAGCGTGATGTATGGTTAGCATACACGAGTGCTGCAGGGTTGGTGTAAGTTTCATGGATGGGTAGGTCGTTTGGGATGAGTCCTCTGACTACGAGATATTTAGCCTTCCTCTAGGAGTGAGGCTTGAGTGCTCGCTATGATCATGTATATTGCTGGGGTGTTGTGATGATACTTGAGACAAATATGGGTAGGTGTGGAAAGTAGTATGGGCCCGTACTACTGAAAGCACAGGACCCATACGCGTAGCAAGGAAGTCACAACCCCTAGGGCTTGGTCGGGAGTTCGTTCCTAGTTCTCTGTATGGATTATCTAATACCTTGTGTTATGTTTCAGAATGGTGATGACCAGGCGCCTTGTGATTGGATCCGGTTCGGGATCAGGAGAGGGAGAGGGAGAGGGCGGACAAGGGGCGCCGACAGCGCCCGAGACTATCGGCCAAATGAGGCCAGATGAGATAGATGACATGATCCGGGAGATTCTGCATGATGAGGTTGCTGCTTTGTTCCGGGCCGAGCTGCCGGAGATGTTCGGGTCTATTAAGACCGCTATGGTGGAGTATTTCGATGATCGTTATGCAGCCCTCACTGAGGCAGCTGCCGCCGCAGCTATAGCAGCTGTATCGGCGGCAGGGTTGGGAGTCGGTCGGGATTTCCAATATCGGGACTTCGATAACACGAAGCCCCCTACTTTTGATAGGACTCAGGACCCCATCAAAGCCATGAGGTTGCTATCTGATGTGGAGGGATGTTTCTTCACATGTGTATGTCCTACTGACTAGAAGGTCAGATGTGCCCTGAAGTTGCTGAGGTCCGGGGCAAAGGACTGGTGGAGGTTGATGACTGGGTCGTACTTAGACGAGCAGAGAGCTGTTGTTACTTGGGAGCAGTTCAGGGATATGTTCCGCGCTCGCTACATTCCTCGAGTCGAGCGAGAACGGTTAGCTCAGGAGTTTTTGGAATTGAGACAGGATCGGGAGACGGTGAAGGAGATCACCCGTATGTTCACTGAGAGGGCAATGTTCTGCCAGGAGTTTGCTTCTGAGTAAGCTCAGATGACTCGTTATCTGAGCATGCTCAAGAAGGATATTCGACAGTTTGTGGCGACTCAGCGTTGTGATAGGCTTCTGGAGTTACAGGAGGCCGCCAGGCGGCGGGAGCTTGAGATTGAGTTACAGCTGAGAGAGCAGGGTAGGGCCCCGGCACAGACGCAGCCGGCGCCAAAGCGGTCTAAGACCGCTGATTCCAGGACAGGGGGACATCAGGGCCGCACTTGTAGCAAGTGCGGAAAGGGGCACGCGGGGGTTTGTAGGCCTGGTAGCGGATGCCGCAAATACGACCAGGAGGGGAATTATGCGAGGGAACGTCGTCAGACGGCCCCGGTTCAAGATATGAGGATCTGCTACCACTGTCATCAGGTTGGTCACGTGAAGACCAACTGTCCGCAGCTCGCAGCCAGACCGACACAGGCTCCAGCCCCGGCTACATTGAGGATTACTGACGGGAGTCAGGGTCGAGTAGTTCCCCCGAGGGCCCAGGGGCGTGCTTTCCAGCTTACGGCGGAGGAGGCCAGGGCAGCACCAGATCTGGTTGCTGGTATGTTTCTATTCTCTATCTCGCTCATTATATATGTTTTATGCTTATCCGTTGTACCTGTGATTAGGTACGTTTTTATTGAACTCCTTGCCTGCTTTGGTTTTATTTGACTCGGGGGCGAGTCGGTCTTTGGTATCTCAGACCTTTAGTAGGGAGTTTGGTGTGCCAGTGGGCGAGCTAGAGTGTCTGTTGCGAGACTCTATCGCCAACGAGCACAGAGTTTCTGCTTCTTCGGTCTATCGAGGGTGCGAGTTGGAGATCTTCAGAGTGTCCTTTCCAATTGATTTGATACTGATTCCCATGGGGGAGCTGTGCGTGATCGTAGGGATGGATTGGCTTAGCCGTTTTGGTGCCATGATAGATTGTGAGGGCCAGAGGGTGGTAGTTCGAACCCCAAGTGGGGGAGAACTGATTGTTTATGGCGAGGGCACTAGAATGGGTTCAGGGTTTTGTTCAACCGCCAGGGCTCGGCATTACATTCAGAACGGTGTGCGGGTTATCTAGTGTACGTGGTTGATACGCGTGCCAGGGAGCAGGTTTCAGCTTCGGAGGTTCCGGTGGTCAAAGAGTTTACCGATGTGTTTCCGGAGGAGTTACCTGGAGTACCTCCGGAGAGGCAGGTCGAGTTCAAGATTGACCTAGTTCCAGGCGTGGCCCCTATTGCCAAGGCGACGTACCGGTTGGCACCACCAGAGATGCAGGAGCTGTCATCACAGCTGCAGGAACTGCTGGGAAAACTGGTCATCCGACCTAGCAGTTCCCCATAGGGAGCACCGATACTCTTCGTCAGGAAGAAGGATGGTTCGCATCGGATGTGCATTGATTACCGAGAGTTGAATAAGTTAACGGTGAAAAACCGTTATCCACTCCCGATGATAGATGATCTTTTCGATCAATTGCAGGGTGCGTCTTGGTTTTCCAAGATAGACTTGAGGTCTGGGTATCACCAGGTCAGGGTCAGAGAGGAGGACGTGGAGAAGACCGCGTTCCAAACTCGTTATGGACATTACGAGTTCGTGGTGATGTCGTTTGGGCTCACCAACGCGCCAGCAGTATTCATGTACCTGATGAATCGGGTCTGCAGACCGATGCTCGATCGCTCGGTCATAGTGTTTATCGACGATTTCTTGGTGTATTCCAAGACCCGAGAGCAGCATGAGAAGCATCTGCGGGAGTTATTGGGAGTGATGAGGCGAGAACGGCTTTATGCCAAGTTCTCGAAATGCGAGTTTTGGTTACGAGAGGTCCAGTTCCTGGGACACCTCGTTAACCAGGAGGGGATTTTGGTCGACCCGGCCAAAATCGAAGCAGTTATGCAGTGGGAGGTTCCGAAATCTCCTTCAGACATCAGGAGCTTTTTGGGATTGGCAGGGTACTACCGGAGATTCATACAGGATTTCTCCAAGATTGCAGTACCCCTCACTCGTCTGACGAGGAAAGGGGTGGATTTCCGGTGGGGCTCTGAGGAGCAGAGGGCGTTTGAGACCCTCAGACAACATCTATGCGAGGCTCCAGTCTTGACTCTTTCAGAGGGAGTTGAGGATTTCGTAGTGTTCTGTGATGCGTCCATCATAGGACTAGGAGCGGTCCTCATGCTGAGGAGACGGGTGATAGCTTATGCATCGCGGCAGCTGAAGCTACATGAGACACGATACCCTACACATGATTTGGAGTTGGGAGTGGTGGTGTTCGCCCTCAAGATATGGAGACATTACCTTTATGAGGTCTGTTGTACCATTTACACGGATCATAAGAGCCTGAGACGTATCATGGATTAGCCGAACCTGAACATGAGGCAGCGCAGGTGGCTGGATGTAGTCAAGGACTACGATTGTGAGATCCTTTACCACCCCGGTAAAGCGAATGTGGTGGCGGACGCTCTGAGCCGCAAGTCAGCTGGATCTTCCACCCCAGCGATATGTATGAGGATAGCGGTGGATTCTCCGCTTGTGAGTTTGATCAGAGATGCTCAGGTCGAGGGCATGCGGACAGAGAACTGGAAGCTGGAGAGGATCAGGGGTGAGAACACCCGGTTTGTGCAGGATAGCCGGGGATTACTAACCCGATGCGGTCGGGTGTGGGTTCCGATGTCTGGTGGGGTCTGACAGACAGTCATGGAGGAGGCTCATAAGTCTCACTTCTCTATTCACCCGGGGGCTACCAAGATGTACAGAGATTTGAGTTTGAGCTACTGGTGGCCGTGCATGAAGCGAGAAATCGCTTGGTACATCGAGAGGTGCTTGACTTGTAGGATGGTCAAGGTCGAGCATCAGAGGCCGCATGGCATGCTGCAGCCCCTGGAGATCCCCATGTGGAAATGGGAACAGATCACGATGGATTTTATTACCAAGTTGCCGAGAACGGCGAAGGGGTTTGATGCTATATGGGTCATCGTGGATCGATTGACCAAGAGTGCCCATTTCTTGGCCATACGGAAGAGCTCATCGGCCGAGAAATTGGCCGACGTATACGTCCGCGCGATCGTGGCTTGCCATGGGGTTCCGGTCTCCATCGTCTCCGACCGGGATGTTCAGTTTACCTCCCGTTTCTGGCAGAAGTTTCACGAGGAGCTGGGCACGCGGTTGCACTTCAGCACAACATTCCATCTGCAGACTGAAGGTCAGAGTGAGCGGACTATTCAGACCCTCGAGGATATGTTGAGGTCGTGTGTCATTGATTTCGGTGGGAGCTGGGATTCCCACCTACCGCTTGCAGAGTTCGCCTACAACAACAGCTACCATTCTAGCATTGGCGCCCCGCCGTTCGAGCTGTTGTACGGGCGGAGATGTTGCACCCCGGTTTCTTGGGGTGAGGTCGGACACAGAGTGATGGATCGGATGGAGGTAGTCTTGCTGAAACATCCCAAAAATACAACCCAAAAATTTTTGTTTGAAAACTCTACTAAACCATAATATCAAATATTAAAAGATAAATCCATGGATCATGCGTCTCAAAATGTCATAATAAATTTATCAAATCAACTGATGTCAAAACATATCAAAATATCCGAATAAAACTCCCAGGACAAACTGAAGCTGTGGTGTGTGCCATGTCATCATCCCGAGCTCTTCCCCTTACCAGCGGAAGTACCTGAAACCAAAAACTGAAACTGTAAGCACAAAGCTTAGTGAGCTCCCCCAAACTACCACATACCATACAATAACATATAAAGCAACTACTGGGCCTTGCCCACTGCATCGGACCGTGGTCCGGAAACTGCATCGGACCGAAGTCCGGAACTACCCAGGGCTTTTCCCTCTGCATCGGACCAAAGTCCGAAAACTGCATCGGACTGAAGTCCGGAACTAACCAGGGCCTTGCCCTTTGCATCGGACCGAAGTCTGAAAACTACATCGGACCGAAGTCCGGAACTAACCAGGGCCTTGCCCTCTGCATCGGACCGAAGTCCAGAACTGACTGAACATAGCATAGCATAATCATAACTACTAGCATAAACACAGATACTGCATACTGCATCGGACCGAAGTCCAGAACACATAACACAAAGACATACTTGAATCACAAATACATCAAGCACACTGAACTACTGCATCAGACCGAAGTCCGGAACTACTGCTAACTAAACGGGCTGGCATTGTGGCCGTAGACCCGTTCCTACTGGAAGGAAACTCACCTCGTAACGCTGGCTGCTGAGGTGCTAAATCTGAGACTGTCTGACTGCTGCTCCGGAACTCCCCGACTACAAATCCCATAAACACTAAATCAAATACTAATAACTAATCTCAGGGTAAAATGACTATTTTACCCCTGATCAAAGTCAACTTCCTGGTCAAAGTCAACTTCCTGGTTGACTCTACTCGCCGAGTCCTACTATGAACTCGCCGAGTTCCCGGACTCACACTTCTCTAACTCGTGACTCGACTCGCCGAGTCCCTTTACTTCCAGATCCTTGTTCTAACTCATTGAGTCCTCTTCCACTCGCTGATTCAACTCACAATTCCAAAATCGGAGAAATCGGGAGGATTTGCGCTCTGACTCGCCAAGTCCAAGAACAACTCGTCGAGTCCTATGCATGTCCTCACTAAATAGTTGATTCTAATCGATTTCAGTGCATCCAATTCATAGATCTGAGCTTCTAGGGCCTATATAACACGTAAATTTGCCAACTTTACGTGCATGCATAGAGGTATGAAGCTAAAATACCAAAATAAGTTAGAAATGGGAACCTAGGGTTTGGAACAAGACCTTGCTTTGCATAAAGGTAGCTGCTTTGAGCTCCTGGGGCTCAATGATGTCCAGATCTATAGCTCACTACCCTAAGGGAGCTCCAATATCGAGTTTGGACCTTGAAATGTCCCAAAAGTGGCAAAACAAGCATAGATGAAGATCTACTAGGAAAATGAACAAGGTAGAGGCTTTATTACCAGATGAAGTAGCAAATAGAAGCTAGCTTCTGGATCTCCTTCTTCTCCTTTGCACCTTCTCTCTTTCCTTCACTTCTACCCTTCCAAGAATACACCAAAACACTCAAAATCAAGAAGGAATCACTCAAGCTCACCAATGGAGGCTAGGGTTTTAAGGGGGAACGCTTTAAGGGTGCTGGAGGCTGGGATGGGGGCTATAAGGACGTTTAAATAGGGTACAAACCCTAAGGATTAGGGTTTCCTCCAGACTGGCCTACTCGTCTAATCCAGGCGTGGACTCGCCGAGTAGATCACTTAAAACCCGCGTCCAACCTGGCATCTACTCGACGAGTTAGGGCTACTACTCGCCGAGTAGCTCTTTATAAAAGACATTTAATTAATTAAATACGTACCAGGAACGGGGCGTTACACTTGCAGACTACCGAGAAGATTCAACAGATTAGGCAGCGGCTGCAGACCGCTCAGAGTCGGCAGAAGAGTTACGCCGACTGGTGCCAATCCGAGATTGAATTTCAGGTCGGTGATATGGTACTCCTGAAGGTCTCGCCTTGGAAGGGTGTGATCCACTTCAGGAATAGGGGAAAATTGGGCCCCCGATATATTGGGCCGTTCAGGATCATTGCCAAGGTTGGCAAGGTGGCTTATAGGTTAGAGCTACCGGAGGAGCTTAGTCGGATCCACAACACTTTCCACGTGTCGCAGTTGCGAAAGTGCATTATGGATCAGGAGGCAGTGGTGTCGCTGGATGATATTCAGGTCGATGAACGTCTGAATTATGTGGAGAGGCATGTGGCCATACTGGAAAGGAAGACGAAAGTTCTGAGGAACAAGGAGATACCCTTGGTGAAGGTACAGTGGGAGAATCGTAGGGGGTCCGAGTGGACGTGGGAGCCAGAGGCAGAGATGCGGGAGCACTATCTGGAGCTGTTCACTGCGGCAGACTTCGAGGACGAAGTCTAGTTCAAGTGGGGGAGAATTGTAACGCCCCGATTCTCAGGTATTGATTTAAATAAGAAATTTCTTTGATTCCAAGGTCTACTCGACGAGTCGGTTGCCCTGACTCGTCGAGTAGCAGCGGGTTTGGGCCACATGTTAAGTGACCAACTCGTCGAGTCGGAAGAGTGACTCGACGAGTTGGAGCTGGAGGGTGAAACCCTAATTTCCGGGGTTTGGCACCCTATTTAAGGGATTATTAGCCTCGCTTAGTCCCTTTGCAGCCTCCCTTGAGTTCATAAACCCTAAAATCGTGCTTATTCTCCTCACTTGTGTGTTTCTAAGCTTGGAAGAAGGATTTTGGAGAAAAGAGTTTGGAGTTCAAGAAGTTAGCAGCAAGGAGCGTTTGTGGACCTGAAATCTACCTCAGTTAGCACCATTTGAAGGTATCAAGTCGTTACCTTGACCTTCTTTCCTTCTAGATCTCTTTTGGGTTGAAGATTAGGGCTTTCAACATGTTATGAAGCTATTCTTGGGTATGAGCTAAGATCTTAAGTTGCAACTTCATATCTGAACTCTCCTGGGTCTTTAGGTCCATAAAGCTTACAACTTAAGCAAGTATGAACCCTTCCTTTTGAGTTAAACTCTATTTCAAGTTTGGATTTGGCATTATCAGTCATTAGAGCCTTACATGCACGTAAAGTTTGCAACTTTATGTGATAAACATGCCTTGGGAGCCTAGATCTACTGTTTGGAGCTTTGAAGCAGCTTAAAATCGTCTGTATGAATGAAGGACTGAAGGGACTCGGCGAGTGTCATGAACGGCTCGGCGAGTCCGATGAAGATTGTCGTAGTCTCGACGAGTTATATGAGCGACTCGGCGATTCCGATGAAGAATGCCTTGGGCTCGGCGAGTCAGACGAGTGACTCGGCGGGTTGGCAAGTTATGCAAGAAACTCGGCGAGTAGATTAGGGTACTCGAGGAGTTAAGGTCAACATGGACTGTTGACCTTGACATTTGACTTTGACTTTCACCAAGAGTTGACCAGTTGACTTCTGAGGGTATTTTGGTAAATTGAATATTGATAGCAAAGGACATTGGTGAATTTAGGTGTTACAGTTGGAGCTACATTTGAAGAGTTTGACACTACCTTCCGAGCTACTTGCGAGGTGAGTTATCCTCACTATATCAACAGGGTCTACGGCACCAAGGCCGGCCCTTTATGATTTAAATCCTGGGTTAGGATGGTCGTTATGTTATTGCTATGCTAGATTTCATCCTGGTTTAGGATGGTTGCTATGCTAGACTTCATCCTGGTTTAGGATGGTTGCTATGTTAGATTTCATCCTGGTTTAGGATGGTTGATATGCTAGAGATCGGTTAGATCGGTATCCTGGATATAGGATGATTGCCATGTTAGTGATCTGTTAGATCTGCATGTTTACTTGTTTATATGTATGTGCACATGTTTGTTGGTTTGGGGAAAGGGTTGAGGCAGGTCCTGCTATGTGCTGTAGGCCAAGAAACCCTGGGCGGACCGGGTAGACTGCAGGCCCGGGCCGGGCAAATCTAGTCAGGTCGAAGGCCCAGCGAGCGGTCCGGATAGGCTGAAGGCCCCGAGGAGGGCGGTCCAGATGTGACGAAGGCTCGGAGAGCGGTCCGGATAGGCTGAAGGCCCCAAGGAGGGCGGTCCAGACGTGCCGTAGGCTCGGAGAGTGGCCCAGATAGACTGAGGATCGGGATTCGGTCCAGTCAGACTGATGGCTCATTATGCATGCTGTTTGCTTATATGATTATATGATATGGTTATATCTGTATGGCGTTGGTATTTTGGGGGTAACTCACTAAGCCTTTGAGCTTACATTTATCGATTATTGTTTCAGGTACTTCTGATGATCGCGGGAAGGCAAAGGCGTGATCGTACCGCTCCTCACATTTTATGATTTTATGGTTTGATTCTGGGATACTCTGACATTATACTATTTTGAAAACAAGTTTGTAATAATCATGTGTTTTGAAATATTTTAAAAAGTTTTAAATTGGCTCAAATTTTGGGATGTTACACAACTCTTTATGTATCCATACATAAACTTTGTCCAACATGGATCATAAGCCCAACACAGATAAATATAACTAATTACCATAATTAGTCCCCATAGATTTAATTAGTTTTTTTATCACAAAATTAATTCCTTATCAATACTAATCAAAACATATGATTTCATATTAATATATTATAACTTATAATATATTAACAAACCATATATATCCTTCTCTCAAAAGTCCATCCTAACAAATTGTCCTGATGATATGCAACCCAAATGGACCATGCTACTCTCGGGTCGAGTACATACCAATAATAGTTATGGGCTTAGACATCTAATCCAACAGTCTCCCACTTGGATAAGTCTAAAACTATTATTGCAAATATGACTCCAAGATACCGACTAGCAATCGTAGTTCTTAAAAGCTGCTGTCGAACTCTGACCTAGTCAATGACATGTCCATTAGATAAGGGATCATATATTCCTCCATTCTAGATATCATATGGACCGAGACATGGATTATAATCATTCTCTTTGTCCATCTGTTGTTTCCCGATTTCCGATTTATGACGACTGACTAAATCATCGACGGGCCCACATATATCGGTTTTATCCCTCCAAGGGTAAAAGGAATGGATAAACTTCTACCCAAATGTTCACTTGTACTTACTCATCAAATTACACACAACGATATGTTTTATATCAACCAAGTTACTGGTTGCGTTTACATATGTCAATGTGCAACCGACGCGCAACTACAACTCACACGTCTCTGTTTGAAGAATACAAGATATTATCGTCTCATGATCACTCGTGATAAAATCCATGAAGTGATTCAAATGAGCGTGGGTTTAATCCAATACTTGAATCTCATTCCAGGAGCACTCATGAATGTTGCAACAACTTTTGCTATGTCTAAACACTTTAGACATCTACAAGCCCAATTCATGACAGTCTTGATTCATACCTACTTCCAAAGTATGATTGACTGTGGAGAGTTTGAATAACCTAGTTATTCGGAAAGTCAAAACATGCAAAGTGAAACACAAGAATAATCGAATCCAATATGGTCTCAGAACTTATGAATATAAATAAAACACCTTTTACTTAATCACCATATTGATTACACATTATTCATTGCATAATGTTTCAAATAATCAACTTAATACTTGAACTGAAACAATAGGCATGACAAGCTCCAAGCATGCACATTATGTTTGTCCAAACAATAGTTATGCCATACTCCAAGTATGCACACTATGTTTGTCTATGATCCTTACTTTATGAAATAGACCAATTGAACATGATTCCAATGATGCTCATTTCACAATCCCAAATCCTTATCGCAAATGTAAGAATACAAGATTCTTTGCCATTTACTGAAATCTGTTAGATTTTAAACTTATATGCATTGATCCTCTTGTAATGACTATGCACAAAAGTCACAAAGACTTGGCAACAGACATTTACAAAGTATTCCAATGAAGAGCAGTTCCATGGAAACGAAGTCTCAAATTCAAAGTACATTCCTTTGAACATCCTTCTTGCATTAAGTTTTCTAATCTTACATAGATTTAATGAATAACTTCCACCTATGGACACATTTCCACATTCCCATTTTGACTATCACTTCTGAACAAGAGTTGCCTCCTTTTAGAATATGTCAATATG